AAAAGGAGGATAGGCAATAGATGTTAGCTCAGGGCCAGTCTTCCTCAGCAAAAAAGAGGAGGATTGGCATGGATGTTAGCTCAGGGCTGATCTTCCTCACACACACACAAAAAAAACCTAAGGTTTACATCCCAGACTCCTGCATTAGATATGCACAGGCCTTATGCACCAAGCCCATAAACCCACGTCCCTTACATGGCATCTCTCTAGCTTCCATCTCTGTACATACTCTATGTATTAAAGAGAAAGTTTATTCCAAGCAATTCTGAGCTTTCTCAGAATATTTTTGGTTTCCACCTGATGCAGAAGTGACAACAGGTACAAGTACAGAAGCCAAGGTGTAACCAGAGGGAACTTGCCTAAAGTTCTAAAAAAGCTGAGACAAAGTTGGGAGCAAACCCAGCATCACAGAGATTTCAGCCACTTTGTGAATCACAAATGACATAAGACACCCCAGGTTCAAAAGACTGCCTCCAGGTGAAGCATGATTGCAGCTTTAGGGAGTGATTATGTAACACAGTAACCAGGTGTCTGAATACCTGGAGTATTAGCTATCTGAATTTCTCCAGAGGAAAACGACTTTTGTTGTATATTTTTATTTACACCAAGAAGATGCTTTCACATTCTAAGCTGCTTGTGAAGTTACCTGGCCCAATAATAATGTAGAAATAACACATTTTTAAATGTCCCTTTAACTCATGACAATCTAAAATGAGAATACCCAGAGCTGGTTACGAGGTTGTTAAATTGATACCCCCAAATGTGGATGCTGGCCATAAATTGATAAAACATTGATAAAAACCCTTTAGAAACATAATTTAACATATTTCTGGAGTCCTAAAAAGCATGCAATCCCTTTGATCCAATAATCTCACTCCTTGCACCTCATTTTAAGGAATTCATTTAAAAGAAGAGAAGTGCTTTATGTATAATATTTTCAAGCAACTTATTTATAAAGATGGAAAACTGATAACAGCCTACACGTCTAACAATAAGAAAATATTTAAGTAAATTATGATAGTTCCATTTGATGGAATATTACAACCCATTAAAATATTAATTTTGAAAACACCTTACAACATGAACTACTTAAAATCTGATGCTTAGAGAATAAGCAGAAATCATTTGATTTGTGGTAGGTGTACACTTACATAATAACGTCTAGACATGGATAAGGACAGTGAGGGGGAAAAAAACAACTTAAAAGCAATTTTGACACGAATTTAGAATGGTGGATGATTTTGTTTTTCTTCCCAGAACTTGTATTATGATATAACTGCTCCACAAATGTTTTTTTTTTGAAGATAGGATCTGAGATGATTATTGTAAATGCTCAAGTGCTGTCAGAATGTATTGTTATTATCTTTCTACCGACGTCTGTATGAAGAGATCTCTATCAGAGCCTGATCTGTGCGCTAGTCTCATTCTATGTGGTCAGACATATCCGTGAGAGAGGAATTTTCCCATAGGCCTCCGGAGGCGGTACAGGGAACAGTGTTAGGCACCAAATTCTGGAGTTAAACAGACCTGGGTGTGAGTCCCAGCTCATCCACACACAGGCCGTGGGGTCCTGGGCAATTTTCCTGAGGTCCTCAGTTACCTCTCCAGTACAATGCAGATTCTGAGATCTCCCTGGCAGAGTTGTGATAATTATTCCCAACTAGATATGAAAAGGAGTCCATGCAACGCATGAGTAAGTTACAGCTGTTGTATTACATGGATGTATATTATCTGGAAGCAAGGTAAACCTTTGCCATCAGAATGTAGATAGTCCTGGTACAAGTGACCAATGGTAAATTTTCAGCTGTGGTTTAGTATTAAATCGCTTACAAACCAGACTTGCTCTAGTTGGGTGGGTGTTTGCATCTTCAACCTCCCAACAGCTCTGACTTGGGAGAGCATGTTCCTTCACCGGACCATGTCACTCCCCTGCTTAAAATCCTTCAGTGACTATAGATGCCTATAAGGTCAAGTCCAACCACACGGCCACTAGGCTCTTTAAGGCCGGCTGGCACTCAGGGTCCCTCTCCTGTGCCTTTCAGCCTCACACTCCACACTGCAGGAGCACTAAACCCCCCACAATCTCCCCAATGAGCCATGATTCCTCTTTGCCATCTGCCTTTCCACATTTTACTCTCTCCCTGTAAACACCCTTCCCCCCTCTACCAACCCCACCTTCCCTGGTCACTCCTACCATTTCTGCAACACTCAAGTCTAAGAGGAAGTCCTCCCCGACCCCTTCTCCCTGCCCCAGGGTTAGCGACCCTCCTCTAGGATGCCCCAGCCCCCAGAGCTCTCTGCATTGTTCTGGCTGTGTATTTGCTCTGGGTGCTCCCTGAGGGTCAGGATGTTGCCTTCATCTTCTCCATACTCCTGCTGCACAGCTGGGGGGGGGGGGCAGGAAAGATGATCAGTAAATGCCTATGAAATAATGAGTTGATTGGTGGCAAATAACAGCGTTTTACTTGCACAGGGAAATAATTAAGAATATACTGGCAAAATCAAGCAAGTTAATGTTTCACAGACCTGGAAGCTGGCACAATGAGAAGAGTCCTAACCTTGTATTTCAACTGCCCGGAAACAGGCAGTTGACCTTGGGCTGATCCTCTTTTGGAATGAGGAACAGCAGGAAAATCAAAAGGTTGGCTATGCCAGATACAACTATTTTGCAAATTAATATTTTAAAGCACATTTTCTGGGATAAACGATAGAGATAGCTGTCAATATAAGGGAGGCAAATTTCCTCTGTAAATAGAAGAGAAAGAAAAATGCTAAGAAAATTACCTAGAGCATGACCTTTGACCCAGGCTAGAACCATGAACTCCTAAAACTGGGGGTGAGGTGTAAGTTTGTGCTTTCTTCTGGGAAGAGAGTCCATGGCTTTCATCAAAGGATCCTGCTATGGGCTGAACTGTGTCCCCCAAAACTTCAAATGTTGAAGCTCCAACCCCCAATGTGACTGTATTTGGAGACAGAGCCTTTAAGGAGATAATCAATGTTAAGTGAGGTCATAAGGGTGGGGCCCTAGCCCCATAGGACTGGCGTTCTTATAAGAAGAGGAAGAGACACCAGAGATCTCTCTATATGTCCTCGAGTGCACAGAGGAAGGCCATGTGAGGACACGGGGAGAAGGTGGCCGTCTGTAAGCCAGGAAGAGAGGACTCACCAGAAACCAACCCTGCTGTCTCCTTGATCTTGGACTTTCAGCCTCCATAACAGTGAGAAAATGAATTTCTGTTGTTTAATCCACCACCAACAATAAATTCTGTTGTTTAAGCATCTGTGGTATCTTGTTATGACAGCCTAAGCAGACTAATATATATCCCTTCTCAAAAATAGATAGGAAGCCTTTGACTTGTTGAGAATAGAAAGTTTTTGGCCTAAGCTGTCCCCTCTCTCTGTGAATGAGTCTATCTTCTCATAGGGTCTGAGCAGCTCTGAATATAACCTCACAGGACAAGAGTGCTCCAAGGGGACAGGCTTGTCCCACATACACCCCAAGTAGGCTGTCGCATAGCACATCACACCTACAAACGCTGATTTCTGTGTCAAGAGCACTTTGACTTCAGAGGAGAAGTTCAGGGTCAATATGAACCTGTCTGGGGAAGACTCAGCCACATACAGGGGCCTCCACACCTCCCTGCCCACCTCTCCTCTGTCCACTTCCGCTCCCCACCTGCCCCTGCACCAGACTAAAGAACTAGGAAGGCCTTGGGCCTCCTCATGTCCCCAATTCCCTGCACTGACCCCCCTCATTGTCCTTATCACCATACATGGTCACTGACTATTCAGAGCCACCAGACTAGGAACGCCTTTAAGAAAGGAACAGGTGGGTCTGACTCACTAATTATATTGACTGTATTCGGGTATCCTTTTGAGAGGGGCTGTCCAGGGGAGTGTCTGACTACCACCCACAGCCTTGTTACTTCTAGAAACCATGATCTGTGTGCACAACCCTATGCCCGGGGCTGTGACGAGAAGCACTGCCTCCGGGGCAGACGGTCCAGCCTCAAAGCCAGCTCTGTTCCTTACAAGCTGTGCCTAGGACATGTCCCTTTCTTCAACTGTGAAATGGAACAACAAAAGCATCCACCTCACCCGGTTGCTGTGAGGACTGAGGGACCACATACAAAGCCCTAGAACCGAGCCGGGCACATAGCATGTGCTCAGTGTGTCCTAGCTCTCATGTGGGGCATGGTGGAGATGAGAAGCCAGCGCAGTGGGAAACCCGGCTTTTGGAGGCACCGAGTTAACAGACAACAAACAACATGTGCAGAGCTCTGTACTATTACATTTATAAGGCACTTTTCACATGGATTACAGCGGTTAAGCTTCAAATAACTCCGTAAGGTAGTAGGTGGTGTCATAATTCTCATCTCATAGGTGAGGAAACAAAGGTTTCAGAGACGTTAAGTTGCCTACGTACACACAGAGCCGGAAACGGGGGTCTGCTAGTCCAAATACAGAGCTCCAGCGACCCGAGCTGCAAGGACCCCCCAGTCCCGGAGTTCAGACGAGGTGGGACTGCCTACACCACTGCTCCACCAGCGAGGCCGCCACCAGTCGGACGCCTTTTCCGCAGTCACGGAGTTGAACCATGAAAAGTTTCCCTAGGCTGTCCTGGGCGAATGAGGAGAGCAGCGCGGAACCTGCCGGTGCGCGAGACCAAATGCGTCGTGAGCATCAACACACACACACACACACACACACACACACACACACAGGCCGCCTCCCTTCAGCCCCGGGCTCTGAAGGCGACCTCGGCTTCCCCGGGAGCAGGAGCCCCAGCGACATCCGGACTCGCCTCCGAAGCCAGCTCCTGCCTTCTGCCAGCTCCGGCGTGGGGCTCCGCGCCCCTCTCGGCACCGCCGGCCCCCAAGCGGCCCCGACACGCGGGGATTGGCTCGGAGGGAGCCCCGGCCGGCGCTCAGCACAGGGGAGGGAAGGAGGGATGCCCGGGGGCCGGGGGGCGGGCAGAGCGGGCGCCCGCGCCCTCTTACCTTCCTCATTCTCGTCAAACACGGGGGGCTTGTGGGAGTGGTGCCCGCCCATATTCCGCCGCGGCGCCTGCCGCCGCTGCCGCTGCTACATGCCCGGCCGGGCGCGGGGGGCGGCGTGCGGGACGCGGC